TTTCCTCAGCCTTTAAAAGTCTAGAGCCTCTACCATACCAATGCAAATTTTAATGATGGTGTAGAAGGGAATAGCTAATTATATGTAGTTATTGCTGCTGTAGTAAACAATGATGGAAGATAGCCTTATCCAAAGCATTTGCCAGTGGATATGATTAAGCTAAATTTAATTTACCCAAAGACTCAAGAATGCAAACACTGCATGTTCTCATAACAGTGTTTTCCTTTTCAAAAACGTGAAAATAATTATTCTTAACGGACCTTCAAAGTCTTCATGGAAAGACTGTTCCTTTTGAAGCCCACTCCATTATGTGGAGCTTTTTTCATTTGCCTGCAGTGTTAAATTCTCTACTTCCAAACTAGGATTTAAGAGTGTTTTGTTATCTAAACACAAACAGAACTTCCGTGCTAATTTGAATTCTGATTTCTTTCATTTGCCCAGTTGGAGTGTTTTTTTTTTGTAGGGGAAAAAAGTTGAGGTAAGGAAATGCTTACCAAGGGAGACCCAATTACTCCTTAAGAATTCATTTCCTCAAGTCAAAACACTGAAGTAGAAGGTGAAAATTAAACATTCAGCCATATAAGGATATTTAAGAAAAATCACCCTCTTAGTCTACAATTGAATATAAATGTTTTGAATTTTTTAAACATCTGGTTGGTGAGTTGACTTTTCTTTCATATCATATAGGTGACACATTCAAACAATGAAAAGGCATCTCGTTCTTCCCACTTCCCATTCTCTATGCACAATTGTGAACTTCCCCAAGGATTCTGGGTTGCTAGACTCTGCTAAACAGAACTGTTCACATTTTCTTCTCTAAACTCTCCATAAGACAGTAGTACAACACTGGCAGAAATACAGTATTGGCTGAAATGTCACCTTTTATACTTTGAAACCATGAAGTAAATTCTCATGGTCACACAGAAATAAAGCTTCCCCTTCCCAAAGCTTAAATGTAGGGGACAAGACTGAGTTCAATATTCAATTTCATTGAGTTTTGTAATGCCATTTGTAATACTAATGGTCCTTTCTCATAAAGAAAGGAAATTTAAAAATTATCATTGACCTGAAATAGGATAGGATCAGGAAGATTTTGATGTGCACAGGTAGAAATCTATAGAGCTAAATACTAAAGAATTGCAGAAAATTCAGAGAAGTCATGCATTTAGCGGAACTATGATGAAACAAAATAATCATAATGCTAATCACAAACATATTTTGAGCTTATGCTACATGGCAAGCATTGTCCTAGATGCCTTTATATGCATTAATCATTAATTATCTGGGCTGCATAGAAATACCACTTGAGAGACTCCAGAGGAAGAAAAAAGGGGGCCTCTCAGGGGAATGTCCCAGGGGATAAGTTCTCAGTAAAGAGAGACTCTTCCTCTAAAAGGCTGTGTGTGTGACATCAGAGTGATGCTCACCTGGTTTCTGGACCATGGGAGGAGAGGTCTCTTGCTTGTGACTATGGAGATAGCCCAGACAGAATTGCTTTCTGTGGACGAGAACAAGTGAAGGAAAAAGACGATGTGGAGCAGCTGTTTTCACCAGCTCTATACATGTGTGCTTATAAAATCACACGCAGTGATAGGTCCAGTGAGGAAAATGGGGTTGGACAGATCACTCACAGTCTATGCAGTTTTGTATCCAGAGAACAAATAAAAATAGTAACAACCCTAATCAAAACACTGGCCCATTGACTCCCATTCACTCTGGCAGTTAGAATTCCTTTGAATCTATCCTTAGCCCTATATTCGAGGGCTCCTTCTCACTAACCGGTCCTGGAAGTCATTCCCTTCTAATAGAGACCCTTGTATGCCAACTTAAAAATTGGATCCAGGGATTTTCCTCTTCATCAGCCCATGTTCTTTCCTTTTTACACTCAGGAGGGAGTAGAATTTCTTCATCCGTTCTCATGGTTTCCCAGACAACTTAGCAGAGGAGAAAGAGGAATGGCTCTGGAAACCACTTGTCTTCTTCTTGCCACTTCTTAGACTATGCAAAGGCACTGCTCAGGATTTTTTTTTTGTTCCTCAAAAGCTACCACATAGCCTTCTATTTAAGAGAAAATCTGCCTCTGATCTCTCTAAAACTATAATGTCCTACAAAAAGTTCACACATGAACCAAACATACTTTGGTCTTACATGGATGTCACTCCCCTATTTGCTAATCCTATGTCATCTGTAATACAGAAGATGCCATATGACAAACAGACTGGATTCTGGCTCAAAAAAAGGGGGGGGGGAGAGAAGGAGTATGAAAATTAGAATCACTTGAGTATGTAACATAGACTGTCACCCTGCCATGAACATGAACATTTCTGTATGCTTTCAACAGCTCAGAAAGCTGACAAAGCCTTTTTTGCTGGGATGGAGCATATTCAAGTCTTGGAGGAAAGGCTGCGTAGCTTAAAAAAACAAAACAAAAAACCACAGCATTTTAGAGAGCCCTGGTCTTTTACTGAACAGAATGTTAGGAAGTTACCAAGTTTATGCCAAGCTGTGAAATGAGATTTGTATGGTTCAGCTTCACCCAAGCCATCTAAACTAGACTTCAGGGGATTTGGGAAACGCGGACGTTTGCCATCCTTTACATGTTTGCCACCCATGGTTGCCCAAGTTTAAATGATGGAAACATTCCAGGATATGATGTTGGCAGTGTAGCAACACTAAAGGTTTTGGTGATTTGATGATGGCCTCAAGGCCATGTCATGCCTCAGTACACATTGTAGCTACCTTGCAGGAAACAGAGCCCCCAGTGATTGAATATGAAATAAAATTTCTTATATTTTACTAAGAGCAGAAACGTACAGTTTTACCAAGAGCAGAAATGAACAAAAGCCTGTTTTAGATTTCTTATGGGGTTGGTCAATCCTTTGTATGTTGACGATATTTCTACCTTCTGTAGTATATAGCTAGCCCAAATCATTCCAATGGCATTTTCTTGCCACTTTCTCTGTCCCCAACTCTTTCTTAAATCACATTTCAGTTTTTCCTTATTACTGGAATATATGTTCCATAGATAACCCTTCCCTGTGGCTTAGCTTTCACATTTACAGGTACATAACATTCATCTCTTGAAAAACTGCTCCATTTTCAAATAGCGACTGTAATTTTCCTTCACTGTTATGAAGGGGTTTGTTTGCCTCATATATGCTCAAGCAGCACACAGAGAAACACGGGGTTATTGGAGTGTGGCAGGATGAGTAATGGGCTGGAAACTCAGAGTCTCAAAGTTCTGGTTTTGCCACTAACTCATCCTAAAGTCTGGGTAAAGTGCTTCTTAATTCCTCTATGAGATAATTCCTATCTATCTTAAATGGCATTAACACTAGTTCACCTCCTCTAGGGATACTGGGAGGGGAACAGCCATAAGCAAACATTTTCTAATACTGATCCTTTCATTTGTAAAGGATTTATCTACATTTGTTTTCTTATTTAGTTCTCATAATTCTCTGGGAAAGGTAGTCTTCTCATTTTTCTGTTTAGGAAGTCACAGCTTGTAGATAAGATAGAAATCCCATGCTTTTTCTAGTATTGTGTGTTTATATTTATATATACATATGTGTGGTGTATAGTAAAAATATATATATGTACACAAAAATGTACCTATACATACCTCCTTGAAAATTGTGCATCACAAGAGGAGCATTTATCGATAAAAGGGAATACACGTTTGGCTGCTGTTGCTCAGTGGTTGAGCGTGACCTATGAACCGGGGGTTGCAGTCCAGTTCCAGGTTGGGGCATGTGCCCAAATTGCAGGCTCAGTCTCCAGTGGGGGCATGCAGGAAGCAGCCAAATGATAATTCTCTCTCATCATTGGTATTTCTGTCTCTTTCTTCTCTCTTCCTCTCTGAAATCAATAAAAATATGTTTTGCAAAATTAAAAAGGAATGCACAAGGGCAATAGTCTCCTCACCCAGTAGAAATCATGAATTCAAGCACACCTGAGTAGTGTTTTACTCTTCATCTTTATACTCCCAAGTTTAGGTGTTTCTCCTCAGAGTTTCAGTATGCTTTTCTCTCTGCTAAAGAAGACTTAGAATGACCTATAGTCCCTTTCATTTTAGAACATTTTGCTTTTACCTGTCTTTATGTGATATATAAAATTCCTGTAATTATTTTAGTTGATTTTTTTTCTGTTGATCTTTAACCTGGGGAAGGCCCAGATGGCACAGTAGATGCCGGGGTATCTGGCAAGCTTGACTCCATGTGGAAACATTTTCATGGGTGCTTTAGTGCCATGGATGCAAAGATAGAAAAAAGCTCATGGACACTTCTGAAAATGACCATCCTCAAGATGGCCTTAGTATGCACAGTCATGAAAACACCCACTATCAGAAAGTCCATTGTTATAGCAATGGGAGAGGGGTGGTGGGACTGAACTGCATGAATTTTATTACATTGACTACAAGGATCATTATAAAAGCCAATCAGGTTCTCTAAGATTCCACATATCAGACCCATCTGTTTTCTTTCTCTAGGTTATGTGAGAATCTTAAAGTGCATGTGATTCCCAAGTGGTGGTACCATTATATAATGTATTGTTCAATAGAGCTTTCTGAGATTATGGAAAAGTTCAATATTTCTGCTGCCCAATATGGAAGCAACTAGACACATGTGGCTATTGAGTTCTTGAAGTGTGTGTGGTGAGGGTGACTCAGGAACTAAACTTTGAATGTTATGGAATTTTAATTAATTTTGATGTAAATAGCTACGTGTTTTTTTTAGTGGCTACCAGATTGACCAGCGCATGTCTGCAAATGATTCACCTTACTGTTACTTAGGAGACTAATTTCAGTGACATCAAAGGAATTTTCCATTCACTGATCTTGAAAATACTTTGGGGTGAAAAGGTATGAGAGAGATGGGATCTTCAAAGCCTAGGTAGGTGCGGAATTTCAGGGTCAACCCATGTCAATGATGGTGGCTTTTCAGAAGTGACCTGAAAGTTGTGTGTCAGATTGTGACTCTCCTCTGGTTTTCTTTTCTCAGGTTCTTTCATGTTGGTGAACACATCTGGCAGACCTGAGGGGCAGAGAGCCCACCTCCTTTTACCGCAGCTCAAAGAAAACGATACCCACTGCATTGATTTTCACTATTTCGTGTCCAGCAAGAGTAACTCTGCTCCTGGGTTCCTCAATGTCTACGTGAAGGTCAACAACGGGCCTTTGGGGAACCCGATCTGGAATATATCCGGAGAGCCGACACGCACATGGAATAGGGCAGAACTGGCCATTAGTACTTTTTGGCCTAACTTTTATCAGGTATGCTCTTAGTTTTCATTTCATGTTTTTGATGCATCCTCTAACTTCTTAAAATCTACTTTAAATCGTATCATCAGAGAATGTATAAGAAGTGATGTGATTGTTATACCAACATAAGGAAAGCTTATGCTATTTGATAGGGAATGTATTAAAACTTTGTTTGTAATATTACCTTGAGAAAGGAGTAAAGGACACAACTCAAACTTGCTTATTCATATATTAGTAGTCACCTGCAGCAGGGCAGGAAGTGCTCTCTGCAGGGATATTATTGTACTTTCTATATTAGGTAAACCTTATCTGACTCAGGGAGACAGAGCACTAGATTCTAAAAGAAGCAGCCCTTCTTGCATCAGTGGCTCTCAGAGGTAAATGAGTCATTAGGAAGTGAACCCCATGGAGAAAAGCTGGTGAGATGCAGGTCCCTGCTCCAACCGCATAAGCAATGGGAAGAAAATGCCATATGTAGGCGGAGTCTTCGTCTGGCCGGGAACTGCTGTCCTTGCTGCTGTCATTTGGGATGTTCTCCTGAGGCCACTCTGAGTTCTCATTTAATGTAACGAGGGTGGAGATCTAGGGGAAGTTAAGAAATGGCATAAACGCAATCTTGATGTCACATCCTGACTGTGGGAGAGTTTCTGTAACCCAAGCGCATCCTGACGTTGTCAAGAGCAGGAAATTAATAACATGTCATTGGGTGCTCTCTCTCCTTTGGTCCACAGCGCCTTTCCAAACAACCTGATACTTAAAAATAACTCCATTTCAAGCTACGAGGATGCATTAAGAGGATTGTGATATTTTGCTTTTCTCTTAATTCCTTTGGCTCACTGAGGAGCCAAATGCATCGTGGATCCAAGATCATCTCTCATGTTTGCTCAGATAGACTCAGGGAGGGAAAAGTGGGTCATCTCCTGCCTGCTTTTCATCTGAATGGCATGAATTCATTCCACAGGTTTGGTTTTTAATTAAGAAGATGCATCCATTCCTCTATCTTTGGATTTGATTATGGGAGTAAATAGGCTATAAATATATTACTTTATTTATTTTTGTACCCTATGCTTGTAACAATTTCTGGTATTTAATGAGTGATAAATGTTTCTTAAATGGAAATGAAGGGCTAGTGAAAGCTGTTAGTTCACATAAAAATTGTTAAAATTTTTATTTGGAGTACACTTTGGTAATATATTTTAAAGGTGTTAAAATTTAGATTTAGCAATCTAGTGTTACAAATTCATTTTAAGGAAATAATGAAGAGTGGTTGCAAATAATTAACTATAAGGATATTTAGAGCTGTTTATTTGTAATAATGAAAAATCATAAATAGTATTATTTATAATAGAGATTAACTTGTGCTAGTTCAACTCAAAAATTTATTTTGCAACCATTAAGAATAAATATTGTAGCAAACCATTGCATGATGAATTTGAGCTTATGTTTTTAAATGGAAAAACCCTATGTAAATCAGTACATTAAATCTAGTTGTTTAAATTAGGGTTAAGGTTAGAGTCACACACACACACACACACACACACACACACATCTTTATATATAAGCAGGTAATATGCAAATTAGCCAGGACACCAGAAGAGGCTGCGCAAGCAGGTGGGCAGGAGAGGACTGTGTGTGGTGAGGTAAGCCACGGATGGCGCAGGCCCGAAGAGAACAGGGCCTGCTAGCGGTGTGCTCTGGCAGTCCCGCCTCTGCACATGAGCTGCAGAGGAAACACCTTTTCTGACCGCTCATTGACTAGGCTTCCCATATGCCACTCTCAGTGTTCTTGGTAACTTGGGTATAAGAATCCAAAAAGGTGATCTAGAGCCAAAACCGGTTTGGCTCAGTGGATAGAGCATCAGCCTGGGGACTGAAGGGTCCCGGGTTGGATTCCAGTCAAGGGCATGTACCTTGGTTTCAGGCACATCCCCAGTAAGGGGCGTGCAAGAGGCAGCTGATTGATGACTCTCTCTCATCAATGTTTCTAACTCTGTATCTTTCTCCCTTCCTCTCTGTAAAAAATCAATAATATATATTTTAAAAAATGATCTAGGTTTTTTCCACCTCAATCCTAGAGGGAAAAAAACAAAGGTCTACTGCTGGAGGGTCTAAGAATTGTCATTTTCTGCCCTAGCCAGTTTGGCTCAGTGGATAGAACCTTGGCCTGCCAATTGCAGAGTCTGGGTTTGATTCTGGTGAAGGGCATGTACCTAGGTTGCAGGCTCCTCCCTGGATGGGGCCCAGGTCAGGGCTCATGCAGGAGGAAACCAAAGTGTCCCTCTCACATTGATGTTTCTCTATGTCTCTCCTTCTCTCTTCCATGCTCTCTAAAAATCAATGGAAAAATATCCTCAGGTGCGGGAAAAGAAGGAAGGAAGGAAGGAAGGAAGGAAGGAAGGAAGGAAGGAAGGAAGGAAGGAAGGAAGGAAGGAAGAGCATATCCTATGAAAGACATCTTGAAAATGAATAAAGAAAGTTGTCATTTTTTCGTAGTGAAGGGACTGGAATCCATATTGATGAAAACACCTTAGCAGCTGCTACTGCCAAGTGGCAGCAGCAGTGGGGTGATGGGGTGGTGCCCTCCCCTGGTTAGTCCAGTAGCCTCCTGCAGAGGAATGTCAGACTGTGGCTTAGGCCCGCTCCCATGGACCATCCCCTGGGGGCTCCTGGTTTGGAGAGGGTGCAGGTCAGGCTGAAGGATGCCCGTCCAGTGCACAAATTTCTTGCACCAGCCTTTAGTATATATAGTAGATGGGTGGTAAGGAGTGAGGGGTCCCGGACTGCTAGAGCACCGGACTGCAAGAGGGATGTCTGGCTGCTGGCTTTGGCCCAATCCCCAGGGGACCGGGCTTAAGCTGGCAGGTGGACATCTCCCAGTGGGTCCCAGACTATACTGTGAGAGGGTGCAGGCCAGGCTGAGGAACCCTCCCCCCTCCCTACACACAGAGGCAGTGCATGAATCTTGCACTAAATATATATTCTACAATGTATGGTGAAATAAATATATTTTAAAATGGTATCTCCCCAGCTAGTGTTTTGATTTTTTTCCCCCTGTCATCTGTCATATTCTAAATTTTCCCCAATGTACATGTATTGTTTTACTTATAAAACAAAAAGAACAAAATCTAATTTTTCTTCCTGAGGAAAATATATTTAATGAAAACCTTATTTTTTATAAAAATATGATCTGTGATATAATTCAAAAAAGATAGCCTCTGGGGAAAAATTTTATCTTTCATAGGATTAAAATGGAAGCAGGGAAATGGATTTGACTAGGCCGGGCCTCAAAATGCTTTTGTCTGGTGGACAAGGCAAAGAGCTGAGTGTCTTTAGAAACTCATTTTGGAGGATACTGTCTAAAAGTGGAGAAGGCTTAGTTCTGTGATGTTCCCACTGCCTCCTGGAACCTGCATGATAAGCTCTTTAGTAGGCTTCTGATGGATAAAGGCCAATGGGACACAATTCTGGACAAGGTCAGAGGGTATGTCCTGCTCATATGTGCCTGGTTTTCTCCCTTTTTGATGAGGGCCCTCTCTGGCTGATAGATGTCTGCCTTCCCATGCTCTGTTGTGTGCTCAGAAGGTCCTCCCTTCACATGTAGGGAGAGTTTGCCCTGGTCTCTCTCCTCTTCTTCTAAATACACTAATCTCATTATGAGGGCTCCAAGTTCATGACCTCATGTAAACCTAATTACCTCCTAAGGTTCCATCTCTACCATCACATTGGAGGTGACAGCTTTAACATATAAATTTGGGGTGGGGAAGTACAGCATTCAGTTCATAACAGCCTTTAACACACTAAGTTTAGACCATCAAAATTCAAGACTTTAATTTATAAAGTCGTAGGAATTTAGTCTTTTAAAAGGAATTATCAGCTACACTGAAAGAAAGGTAGTACTATGAATCAAACTATTATTAATTTCAGTGAATTCTTGTTTTTTACTGATTTCTTTGGAATAAAATATTCTGCCTTCTAATTGTAAACCTCAGACACTCACCCCCCCCCCCCCATCTACCTCCCCTTCTTTCCCTCTGAATTGTCTCACTTTACTGAACTGTATGTGATTTTTCATCATAAATTGGGACTGAATTCTCAGTCTAGCTTTTTGATTCACTGGAAAATTCATTAGGAATAGCTTCATACTTTGAATTTAATGGTGGATTTGTAGAGACGCTTTAATATAGTGTTGCTCAGTGTTGATGAACCTGGTAATCAACATCGCTAAAGGCCTTGGATCCACTAAAAAATACATTTGCTCATTTAATTCCTGAGGTCTCCAACTGAGCATCAGCCTTTAAAGTTTCAAAGGCATAGTTAAGGTAGTACTTCCCTTGTATTTTTGCTTTATCTGCTGGCTGGTAAACATACTGAAGTCATTAACCTAATGGTAACATAAGCTATAAGGTAAATGGTACTCTGTAGATGATACAAGAGGAATGTCAGCAGGAAACTTACAAACTCTCAGCAATAGTTCCCGATTGGGTTGAGGAAGACAAGCTGTATTAACAGAGGTGAAGAAGGAAAATATCTACCAAATTCTATTTCCACCCTGGCCTACTTATCCTAATAGGAAATGACCAGAATAAAGGCAGAAACTTAAGTTGTCTGTGTTCATGCAGCAGTGCCCTGGGATGGAGCTTCCCTGCTACACACCCTGCAGTCCCTAGCCTGTGCCCTGGTGCCCTTACTGAGGAGACAGGCTGTCATATCCTAATGCTCTTAGAAACATGAAACTTGCATGAGCCTGTCTGCCTTTGAGTTAATTTCCTATATAGAGTTTTCTATATGAAGTTCTGCACTAGCCTGAGGAAGTGAGTCTATTTTATGTAGCTATTATATTTCTACTAGAGGCCTGGTGCATGAAAATTCATTCACTGGAGCAGGGGTCCCTCAACCTGGCCTTCCCCCTCTCACAGCCCAGGAGCCCTCAGATGTGGGAGGTGACCCAGTGATCAGGGGAAGGTGATGCCCCCATCACACCTTTGCTGCTGCTACTGCCAGCAGAACAAGCC